TATTCATTGCTTTATTTACATTTTTTGGTTTGGGTTTTGATTTTTGCCTGGAAATGCTTTTTCCTCATTTCACCTCATTTTCCTTTTATCAACTTCTTTCTTTGTCATTTTTGCCTTTGTTCTTGTGTAATTTACACATAGAGTGGTATATATTATCTCTATAGCATGAGAAATTTGATCATGACTTCCCATATCTGACTATTTTGAATTTTGATCATATTTACATGCTCTATTTCACTAACCCACACATTGAATGTGACAAGTACTTCCAAATGATCTGAGGTTCTTCCCTCTGCTTGTTCAGGATCCCTAGGAAACAAACTGTGACAGTTGTGTTTGTGGAACTGGAATATTTGAAGTAACACTTTCTCTAGTTCCAAATGTTTTCCTGAAAAAAGGCATTTCATTCCTTTGATGTCCAATCACAGGACTTACCTCAATGTTGTGTGTATGTTCTGCTTTGTGTCAATTTCTATGTGTGGATGAATCGTAATGTTCCTGAGTGATCGTGAAGTATGGTCTTAATGTGTTGTTGAATTTGGTGTGAGCTATCTTTCATTAAGGATTTTTATAATCTGTTAGTCAAGGATATTGCCTGACACTGACCTCTTTTCAAGTTTTATTTACTTGGTGTGAGAATAAGGGTAATGCATATTTTATGAGAAAAAAAATTGAAAATGTTCCTTCCCTCAGACTTATAGGATACTGAAATATCTGGAGAACATTGCTGTTAGATGTTGAGATGATAGAATTCATCAGTGAATTGTCCTGGTCACTGTATGAGTCTTTCTTGACTCAATACTTTCAGAGTGTTTTGTCTAGTTTTATTTCCTAGACTTTAATTTTCCCTTTGACTTATTATTTCCCTCCTTCTTGGATGTATTTTAATTTTTTATCAGGGGAGGGAGGGAATGGCCAGAGCTTACAGAAGGACAGTGATGCACGGACAGATCTTCCTTTCAGACAAAAGGTCATTAGTAAAGATGGTCTGGACACTCTGTGGGTGTCTGAAGTAGTTTTATTCCCACCAGACAAAGTGTGTCTCCATTAGCTTCATGGTATCTGAGGGGAAAGGAGTTGCTTCAACACCAAGAAGCAGGCGTGGTTAATATGAGACTTGTGTTACATGACAGGGGATGGGATCTGGAATTTAGGCTACTGAAGAGCTCATTGATTAGATTCATGGGGTGGATGGGAGAGATACAGTCAATATGTGACTGTGTGACAGCAATGAATCTGTCTTGGCTTCTGGGAAAGTAACAGGAGAGGGATGGGGAAGAATAACAGCCCTCTCTCTCTGCTAAGGGTATGTGTCCTTGGGGACAAGAACGTGAATGGAAAAAAAATTTAAATAATTTAACAGAAAATAATTTTAAAAAATCACTGTGGTTTTTTCCGAGCCTTGATTGGTCCATAGCATGTGACATCACACGGAATCCTTGTGAGGTATGCTAGACACTAGCCAATCAAAAGGTACCGCCTGAGGCTAGGTTCTGTCTGTACTTCAGAGAAGCAGTTGGTTGGTGGGAGAGCAGTTGGACTCGTGTTTCCCATACACTTGACCTTTTCCTTGACCTGTTGGATCTGGACATAGTGAGTTTGTTTCCCAAGTTCTGTTTGCGATTCTGTCAATTGTATTTAATTATTTCTTTATTTACATTATTGGTTTGGGTAGTATTTTTTCCCTGTAATTCCTTTTTCTTCATTTCAACTTGTTTTCCTTCTATCAACTTCTTTTCTTTGTCATTTTTGGCTGTGTTCTTGTGTATTTTACAAATTTAGTGTTATATATTAAATGCATAGGATGAGGAATTTGATCATGACTGATATCTGGCTGTACTCTACTTTGATCATATTTATCTGCTATATTTTACTTCCCAACCCATTGAATTGGACAAGTACTTTGTCAATGGGACAAGTCCCATTGAATTGGACCCATTATACAAAGGCAATCCCCCTGCCTGCTCATGACCTGCAGTGAACAAAATGTGACACCTGTGTTTGGGGAACTGGCATGTTTGTAGTAACACTTTCACTAATTCCAAGTTTCTTCATGAATTAAGCATTCTATTCCACTTATGTCTGATTTAGGACTTACCTCAGTGTGGTGTGTATGCTGTGCCCTTTGGCAATTTGTGTCTGTGGACGAATCTCTAGTGTTCCTGGTTAAAGACGTCTTGATCATGAAGTCTGGTCTTATTAATGTGGTGTTGAATTTGAGATGAGCTATCAATTATTCTCATTCATGTTTTTTCCAATCTGTCACTCAAGGATATTACCTGATACTGGGATCTTTTTTAAATGTCTTCTATGGTTTGGAAATTAGGGGAATACTTCTTTTATGAAATGTGCTTGAAAGTGTGCCTTCCCTCCGTTTTATGGACTACTGAAATACTGCAGATCATTGCTGCTAGTTGTTGAGATTGGACAAGTTGATTTCCAACCACTTTGTTGGTTTTGGCTCCTGGGATTTAGATTTGCTGTTTCATATTTCTATTTATGTTTTTCACTTTTTCTTTGTATGTATTCTTCTTTCATACAGTCCATCCTGACTGCATCCTCCCCTCCCTCCACTCCTCCCAGTTGGCCCTCAGCTCCTCTCTCCACCAGATCCACTGCTCCTCTGTTTTCCTTGAGACAAGAGCAGGCTCCAAGGGAGAGCACCTGAACATGGAAGAACGAGACGCAATTAGATTACCTTGAAACTTTTTTTTCTTTTTTTAATGTGTAAATACTTTTGAAGAAACATTTAATTTTTTGTTCTTTGAGAATTTCATTTTATTTTTATTATTAAATTTTTTTCTTTTCATTTTACATGCATACACAGATTCCCCCATCCTCCCTCCTCCTGCCCCTGAGCCTTCCCCCCAACTTACCCCCCATTCCCACCTCCTCCAAGGCAAGGTCTCCCACGGGGAGTCAGCAGAGCCTGTTACATTCATTGGGACAGGTCCAAGCCCCTCCCCCTTGCACTAAGTCTGCACAAGGTGTCCCACCATAGGCACTGAGTTCCAAAAAGCCTGCTTATGCACCAGGCATGGATCCCGATCCCACTGCCTTGGGGCCCCCTGGCCAGTTCAAGTTAAGCAACTGTCTCGCCTATCCAGAGGGCTTAGTCCAGTCCCATGGGGGCTCTTCAGCTATTGGTCCACAGTTCATGTGTTTCCACTAGTTTGGCTAGTTGTCTCTGTACTTTTTCCCATCATGATCTCAATGTCCCTTGCTCATAGAATCCCTCCTCTCTCTCATCGATTGGACTCCGGGAGCTTGGCCTGGCACTCAGACGTGGATCTCTGCATCTGCTTCCGTCAGTTACTGGATGAAGGCTCTATGATGACAGTTAGGGTATTCACTGTTCTGATTAGCAGAGTAGGACAGTTCAGGCACCCTCTCGACTATTGCTAATAGTCTAAGGTGGGGTCATCCTTGTGGATTCCTGAGAACTTCCCTAGCATCCTGTTTCTCCCTATACCCATGATGTCTTCATTTATCATGGTGTCTCTTTCCTTGCTCTCCCACTCTGTCCTTTTTCCAGCTCAAACCTCCCCATTCCCTTATGTTCTCATCCTCCATTCCTTGCCCTCCATTACCCCACCTCATCCCCAGTTTGCTCATGAAGATCTCATCTATTTCTCCTTTGCTGGGCTATCTATGTGTCTCTCTTGGGAACTACATTGTTAGCTAGCTTCTCTGGAGCTGTGGGTTGTAGTCTTGTTATCCTTTGCTTTACATCTACTATCCACTTATGAGTGAATACCTACCATGTTTATCCTTCTGAGTCTGGGTTATTTCACTGGGTTATTTTTTATATATACACATTCTCATAAGCAATTGAATGATACATTTCCACACATGCCTACACTGTACTTGATCATATTCCCCTGTACTACATCAGTCCCCCACCATGTCTTTGTGACTGATACTGGGACTTTTACACAAGCCTAGCCCTCTCCTTCCTCATGACCAGGAGAGACAGAGTAGATCCTGTTTCTGTTTGTGGACCTGCTTTGTCTCCTGTAGAACTCTATCTAGTTGAGCTACTTTCCTTAGAACACAACAGTTCTCTAGTCACTGTGCTGAGTGTGGATTCTTCCCACAGTCTCCTTATGTGCTATGCTGTTGTTCCATTTGTTACAAATGTTACTTCTGTCATTGGGACTGTGAACAAAGGGCTCTTTAGTGTGTTGGATGATGGAGGTGAAGTGTCAGGGACTCTCACGAATGATCTTCACATCTATGCTCATCAAGAAAAGGAGCTCACACTTGCTCCGTTCTTTGAGCTTACTTGGTGGTGGGATCAGGCTAACACTGGCACAGGGATGAGTTTGGATATGGGCCTTTGCTTTTTCTCTCTTGAAGAATTTTCTATAACCCTGGCCTTCATTCTTCTGCTAAGCTTTAAATGATTCAGGGAATCTATGAGATCTGGGCTCTGCTTGTTTGGAGCTGTTTTTGTTGCCAGTCCAAACTGGTTGCTTATGACTTATGTGTTTAAGTGTTTTTATTTTATCTTAACTCAATATTCACACATGTCTAGGAATTCCTTTCATATTTTATAATTTTCTGGAGTATAAAAATTATAACATCCTAAAGGCCCTCTGGACTATAGATGTATCAGTTACAACATCAACTTTTCTATAGTGTAATTTGTATCTGATCTCTCTTGATCAGCTTTTGAGGGTTTTGCCTTGTGGCACATCCTTGAACAGAAGCAGCTCATTCTTTCAGGGATCTCAGGATTTTCCTTTGCATGCCACCTTTACTTATACCAACTCTGATCTTTCCTATGATTCCTCATTCACTGCCTTGGGTTTAGGTTCTTCTAGTATTTTTATATCCTTGAAGAGCATCATAAGATTGTTTGGGATATTTCAGATTTCATGACAGAGAATTCCAAGCTATAGCCTTCCCTCCTAAAACTGCATTAATCTTTTTCTTTTAGCATTGTGTGGGTCTGAAATTTCCCACAAGATAAAGTGGTTGAAATTGAGCACAACACCATGGGCAGCCACATGGAAGAGGACATTCTTGAAAAGGATTTCAGGATGTTAACATCTCTAGGGTGTGGTTCATTCGGGGAGGTGAAGCTGGCCTGCCACCTTCCCACACATACACGAGTGGCTGTCAAGGTCCTTGAGAAAAACACCAACAGTGTGGCTGACATCAGTACTGAAGTGAACATCCTTCAGTCACTGGAACACAGGAACATCGTTCGATTTTTTGACATGATCGACACACTGTCAACCACTTACGTGATTATGGAGTATGTGGCAGGAGAAGATCTGGAGAGCTGCCTCAGGGCACTGGGCTGTCTAAAGGAGGAGGAGGCTAGAGGGATTTTCCGGCAGGTGGTGTCAGCGGTTCACTTCCTCCACCAGAGACACATCGCACACCGTGATATTAAATTGGAAAACATCCTAGTCGATGCAGCAGGAAATGCAAAGCTTTGTGACTTTGGGATGGCGATTGAAATCACAGAGGGGCAGATGTTGCAGGAGATCTGTGGCTCCTTGCTCTATTGGGCCCCAGAGATCTTGGCAAGAAAGCCCTATGATGGACTGGCAGGTGATATGTGGAGCTTGGGTATCGTTCTATATGTCTTGGTCACAGGGCACTTTCCATACATGGAAGAAACCCTTGATGGTATGCACAGACTCATCACCACCACAATGTGTCCCATTCCCTACCATCTGTCCAAACCCTGTCACATCATCATTGCCCGACTACTCATGGTCCCCACCTGGTACCGATTCACAATCTCTCAGCTTGTGGAACAACCATGGCTGGGCCCCATTCAACAACATGTACTGCCTGCCACCAAAGAAATCCTGCCCAGGGTCGTGGAGACTATGTGCACCATCGGCTATACCTGTGAGGAGATTGTGTCATCCCTAACTCACAGGCGAGAAGATAATCGTGTAATGGCTACGTGCAACATTCTCAAATATCAGCTGAGTTGTGGGGACAGCCATCTTCAAGATCAGGTGCCCTGGCTAACTAGCAGCCCAGCAGATCCTGTTCGCCTCCCTCTCCCCTTGAAGAGAGCCAGTGATCCAGCATTTACAACCAGTACACATGCTGGGAAGGGTCACTTTAAGGAGGAGGGTGTGGAAGAAAGAGGCAAAAGATGCAGAAGCTACACCATGCCTCACAGACTCTCCTTCCTGGAGGCGATGCCCGGTTCAGACAACACAGTCCCAGAAAGAGATGCTCTTGTGGCTGATGTCATCAACACTCCTGCAGAGGACATTGCAGTCAACAGGAATTCTGTTGACCCCCTACCTGGCAATCTCTCCTCCCCTGAATCAGTCTTGGATGCAACACCCACAGTATTTCTCAACCTGGGCTTCTGTGAAGAAGATTCATCCCAGGAGCCAGACATTCCCAGTGACCAGCCCCAGGTGGCACCCACAACATCTGGATCCAGGCCATTCAGGGTCTGGGAACTGGTGAGGAAGCAAATTCCCTATGCACTGAGAGCACTGTGCTGCTGCCTGCCCACCCGAAGGTGAGCCCTGAACCCTTGCATCAGGGGCTGCAAAGAAAGAGAGGACAGTGGAGACCTACATGGAGAACAGTTGGTTGGGCCACACAGATGAATTCCTATGTTGTCTTTTCAATATGCTATTTCAATATCCTTTTTAAATGAAAAGTTATACCCACTCAGAGGGCACAGAATTTGCTATGTAGTACATTAGATGGCAAATTCACAGCTTCCTGTTCATGTAAAGTCCTGGAAGGTTGAGGTAAAAGCAGATAGCCTAGCATGGGGACCACAGGGTGGAAGGAAGGGAGGAGAGTTTGTCTAAAGGGGTTAAAGGTTCAGAATGGAGGAATCAGGAGGAGAAATATGGCACAGAACTTTCATCTGCCAAAGTCACTAATAGAGGTGCTTTCATGTTTCTTTCTTCTTTGAAGTGTGGAAACTGAAATGGCCCAATAGAATTCCAGACCTGGTGAGGAGTGACTGCCACAGAAGTGAGCCAGAACTCATCTCCAGTGTGCCAGCTCTCTCCAACCCAGGGCAACAGGCTCCTGCCTCCATTCATCCTCCAGCTATTGGGTCTGAGCTGCCACTTTGCATCTCTTTCAGCTTAATCCAGCCTCAGAACTGTTGTGTGACAACTGGGGGTCATAAGTCACTTGGACCCCATGACCCTCTCTACCTTCCTAGCTTTGGTTGTGCTTGTAGGACCACTCACACTGCATGGAAAACAGCAGCCTCTACCACCAGGAAGGATTTTTATACCAATCTAGGCTGCTCATCATCTTGGTCACTATAACCCTCCAACTTACTCTGTGACTGCCTTATTGACAAAACAGCATGACCTGTGTAAGTCCTCTGGAGAATGGAGGTGGGTGAAAGGAGATAAAGAGGACTAATTGGGGAACAATTTTGAGACAGGAATAGGGGACATGAGAGGTGGTGTAGAATAAGGGGTAGAGTCTGTTCTGAGGAACTTCCTGTCAACAAAGTAGCATGAAAGAGATGTGTGTGCTGAGCTGCCACAGGGGCCCTGCACAGTCTACAGCAGGAACGAACCTGCCCTGAAGTGCAGAGTGGGAGGGAGCTAGGGAAAGCCAGCAATGAGGAGGAGAGGGCCTGCTCCGATGGTTCCTATCATGTGTCAAGGCACACAAGTAGGATGCTGTCTTGGAAATAATATCCTGTTCTTTCCTACAGATCTGGGGTGTAGCAGGAGAAAGATGCAGCACTATTGGTCAGTAGATTCCCGTCCTCCTCAGTGCTGAGTAAGTCCTGTCTGTTAAAGTCACTAAGAGAGGCACTTTCCTTATTTTTTCGGGTTTTATTTGGGAAAGTGAAATGGTCTACTTGAACTACAGTCTTGGTGTGGCTTAGTGCAACAGGAAGGATCCAGGCTGGAACTCTGTGTCCTGTGTGATGACACGTTAGGGCTACAGGTTCCAGTATCCATCCTCCAGGTGTAGGGTCTCAGCTGCCATCTTCCCCATCCTTCACCTCACTGCTGCCCCTGCACTGTTGTTGAACATCCCTAAGTAGTCACGTGTAGCATCGACCCAATGAATGTCTACATCCCTCATGGTTCCTGTAGAACCAGGGTTCCCCGGCATCTACAAGGGCTGCCTCTGTCAACAGGACAGACTGGGACACAGGTCTCAGGCTTCCCTCTTCTTTGATCACTTCATCACCTCCAAACTGCTTTCTGACAGTCTTTTAGAAGATGCAGGAACTGTAAATCCAGTGGGAGACAGAGGGATGGAGATAAGGGGTGGAACAGGGGAAAGGAGGAGGAGAGGATGAAGAGGAAATGAGAGGACCTGGAGAAAGTAGAGTCTGTCCAGAAGAGCTTACCTGCAATGAGTGGAGAAAAGGAGGTTTTGCTGGGTTAAGGGTCTGAAAAAGTGAGACCAGGAACCAATGTCTCAAACAGAGCAGAGTGTGACCTTGGGTGTATTGCCAGCCATGAGGAGGAATGGAACCTGTTCTGATGGTTCCTGGCATACGTCAATGTAGTGAAGTATGAGGCTGCTTTGGAAAGGGACTTCCATTCTGGGCTACTGAAGAAGGGTCTGGCAGAAGAGAAGGGTGGCTCGATCCTGCAGTGGAGTCCTCTCCTGCTCCTGTCTGACATGTCCTTTGGCAGATCTGAGGACATCTATGTCTTTGTCTCCATAGCCTTCTCCATTCAGGCTTCCGATGTTGCCCCCCACCTGCTGATCCAAGAAACTTGCATCATTTTTTCCATCTCATGGAGGGATTTATAACTGACATGGACCTTGCATTAACATTGTTCTGTCCCGGTGTGGGAAGGTAAGTAGGCCTTGCCAGGCCTGATGCTGACTGAGTATGGCCTCTACAAGAACAGCAGCCATGGGACTTCTCTATGACCAATGCCCACCACTGGGGTCTGTCTGACATGGAAACCTTGATCATCATGGATCTCTTGATGACAGCCCCTGGTGCTGTGTGAAGCACTGGTGAGTGTAGTGTCTGAATTGGTTTCCAGGTCACCTTCCAGGTAGGGAGCAGCTCACTGATTTACAAGGGGAAATGAACTCAACAGGGAATCCAGGGCCCTAATCTGTGTGAATCAGGCACCTGAAGGTAAGGTTGAGTACAGTAAGTATCTGTGTGTGGTAGAAGATGAGTCTCTGAAGCCTGGTCTTGATTTCATGAAGAAAAGGATCCCATGAGGTGGCATGTGCCAGCATCCCTGACACAGAGGGAAAGTTATCAGTGACTTGCTCAACTGAAGAACAATGGGAGACTGAGAGACTGCAGAGGTGTGACAAGGGAGGAACCATCTTCTCTGTTACAGTTGGCCTGTACATCTCCATTCTGACCATCTGACCCTGGCCTGTTAGCAAACACTGAGGCAAACTAAATGCTCTTGCCAGATTTCTTCCCAGTGACTGACAGCCAGCTTGTGCTGTCACTTACTTTTAGAACCCTGACCGTCTGGTGAGTCCCATGTGCACAGAAGATCAGTCAGTTTGTTCAGGAAGAGAGAGAAATTTTCAGCTTGTGGGTATCACCTGGTGTCAGGCTGGGTTTCTGCTGCATATCAGTGAAGGCAGGGCTGAGAAATGGTTGAGGAGTCTGTTGAATTCTAGAAATGAGATAGGGAAATTTCCTGAATCCTCATTTGATAGTTTACTTTTTTTGAGACTGGATCTCACTATAGCCCTGTCTATCCTGAGACACTCTGTGTAGAACATGCAGCTCTCAACCTCACAGAGATTGACCCCCTCTCTGTCTCCTGAGTGCTGTGATTACAGATGTGTTCTCCCATGTCTAGCTTTATGTACTGTATGTATAGCATCAATGGTAAATTCCTCAGACATTTGAGGGAAAGGATACAAGTTCTGTGCTTCTTTCATCTCAACAGGGTCAGGGATTGAACTGAAGGTTCTGTCATCCAGGATGGACTACAAACAGCAGCAAAGTCCGAATCTGCCCTTCAGAATAGAAGTCTATGTCCACCAGTGAACAGATACCTGGAGGTGAGAACTGCTGTCATGAATTCTCCTGGGGACCCTGGTCAGTGGGCTGGAGGAGGTATGCACTAGCTGACACATCCTTGGGAACAAGGCACAGAGCATGCAAAGGTTACTCTCTAACCCTTTTCCCAGGATCCCCACCTGAAGACCAGGCACACATCCCATGACTTCAACCTGACCAATCAGGAGAGTCCAGATTGGCTACCTGGTCTGATTGATTGAGTTCTTTCCATTTGAGCCTTGAGATCACAGCTGAGGACTCAAGGTGGGTCACTGAGACAGCTGGTGCCTGTCTTGGGATGTGGATGGCCGGGCTCTCACTAAAGGACACCAGTGACAGAGGCATTGCATGAAGCCATATATTCTAGATAGCAGTTTCCAGTTCTACTCATCTGACACCCAGATACTGTCTGCTTGTCTGCTGACTTCCATGGCTACTCTTGCTCATGGGTCCCACAGTGCTTTTGTTACTTGTAAAAACCACTTTTGGTTGCTTTATGCCATTGAACTTTGTTCATACTTTCTGGCTAATGGGGATCCAAGGCCACAGGATTCTGGATTCTAAACCAACTGGGACTCTGTGCAGTCCACTCTAGACAGTTAGAGGTGATCAGCCCCTCCCAAGAACATTGTGGACCATCCCAGGAAGAGCACTGTACTATTCCATGTATTTAGTGTTCTGTTGTTCATGTTCTGGCTCCTATGACCTGAATATTTTGCATATGAAACAAAACAGGGATCCTCGTCTTTTGGGACATGATTGTCACACATAACACAATCATCCTCACTAGTATCTATTTTCTGAAAAATGTCTAAATTTCATTCACTCAGGTATGTGCTCTTTGCCCAGTATGCTCTTCATGTATTTATTCCATCTATTTATTTTTCTCTCTACTGAGTTATTTATTCATTTATATATTCATTCTATGTTTTTTATGTCAGTATCTTGATCACATTCATATCCCCATCACTTCACACCTGCCCTCCACTCCTACAACTGCCCCAATAAAACAAAATTTAAGGGAATAAAAAGGAAAATAAGATAAAATAAAAAGTGGAGACTTAAAGATCTCCTTGTGGAAGCTGCAGTGACCGAGTGTGACAGAGAGAGTCACACTGTGAACCCCTCTGTCCACATATCTTCACTTGTCAGTGCTCATTGCAGAGTCACTGGTCAGTTCCAGGCCTCGGGTTCCTTCTACACTAATTTTGTATTTGATACTGTCGTCTGTCCTTTGCAGTTGGGACATTAACTTCTTTCACTGTATGGGCATGCAAATTTAAAACTCTGACTTCAAAATCACCAGTGCCACAGTACAAACTCGCTTCTAAATAAAGTGACATGGTTGATCTGGAGATGGAGAGGAGATGATGAGAACCAGACATTGCAGAGGCAGCAGGAAAGAATTGGCTAAGGGAGAAATTTGGAGAGGATGGAGGAGAGAGAGGGGAGGAGCCATGGGGAGAGGGATGCACAGTAGGTCTAGCTTAAGTGCTGCATATTTCAAGTTCCCCTAGAGTCCCTTTC